TTTCTTTATTCTCTTTTATTACATGATCTGGCACAACTGCCCTACTAGAGGCTTGTATGATTGGTTTTCTCTGCTCATTATCGATGAAAAAACGGGTCGGGGCCTTCTCGTCCACTGACTTCTCCAAAAAAAAAAACAATTAGAAATAGCATGGCGGCTTGGTATGTTTTTCATAAAAAACTTGACAGACCTGGTAAGACTATGGTGATTTTCTAAAAAATATAACCATTGACCTATCGACACAAATGATCAAATTCAATTAAAAAAAAAAACAGTCTTTGAAAATCCTTTTACCGCATTCACTTTTAATTTTTACCAAGTCATGTTATAGCCACAAAAGGAGTCATAAAATCCATCTATGATTTTATCCAAAACAAACGCACGGCTAAAAGATGGTTTTCAAAACCTGACAAAAGTCCAAAATACGCATTTTCTTGGCAATTTGGAGAGCCTAGAATGAGATCCACATCACATGCAACGCACCATATCACTAGACATTACTGGGAGGATAGACACCAAAACCGGGTTCTGTTGAAACGAGCAAATGGATACCACACTCCCTTTGTGCTATATACTAAAATGAGGGATGCTCATCTCTCGTGTTTGATACTTAGACCATAGATCATGATCAAAACACCAAAACCACATCTCCATGTGTTTTATTATCTTCAGTAGTTCACAAACGTACAAGAAAGCACATATATATAAGGGTATTCAAACCTGGCTCTGTCAATTTTGTTTAGCACCTATCAATTAATGTCCTTGCATTCCATACATAAACATAAAACTAGCCAAGATGTAATAATAATAAAAAAAAGGTTGACAAGAAGGCTATAAGTTATTGAATGCTCTTTCCCTATATGACCTAACCATGTCATGTGGGATAGATTTCATACCTCAAACTATATAGTGTTGTACCTAGCCTTTCTTGATCCGATATTTTGCTTGTTGGAGAACGTTTATGGTCCTGGAACAGTACATAACTGATGGAGAATCACTTGGTCATCATTTGTACATGTCAGGGAAATATCCAATTCTTCAGCACTTGGATTCTCCCTTACTCTATTTAATTCAAGAAAGCATTAAATAGAGTAACACCGAATACCTTGCCTCAGGTTACCCCCAAGGACTTCGTATACCCCACACCGGGTCTCTTCCACTAAACACGCAGATGATCTCGGTCTAAACTTGTCTCATAACTCAGGAAGCCTAGGAAAAACCACTTGAGAGCATAACATGGGATAGTACTTTGAACAAGCTTCAACACATAAGCATAACTCAATGCACATATGCTATAACGTGGCCCCTTTTGGCTTGGGCGTGCCCCCCTTAGGGTTCCACCTTTTACAAATTAAACCCTAACTTAAGTTCAGAGAGAAAAGAGAGAGAGAGATAGAGAGGGGCGTGCCTTCCCTAGGGTTCAGAGAGAGCGAAAGAGGCCAATCAAAAGGTGTAGAGAAAAGAACCCCCATAGAGAGTATTTAAAATATAGAGGCTAGGGTTTTTGAGGTTAGGGCTTTGCCATCATTAGGAGATTCAATCTTGACCTTTGATCATAAAGACCTGTGGGGTGAAGAGATCTCATCCATTAATTCCTGAGATCAACCATCATAATTAAAAGGAATGAGGTGGAACCATTATCCTTCAGTTACTACAACTCTATTTCCATCAAATATTGTGTAGAGAAAATACTATCTTTTTGTAATTCAATTTCAATTAATCTCTACACTTTCTTATTCGAAATCAATATAATTCTTCACATAATACTTTTCTTTTTATTTTCCAATCAAGAAGGTGGTTTAGCACACAAGCCACACAAAAAGGAAAGAAGGGAGTGGGGTGCCCAACACATAGATAGCCATGTGAGCCCCATGCTACAACAAGTGGGCTTATTTGTGGAAGGCCCAAATTCCCAATGGGCCCCCATACCCTATATTATATTTTAAAATAATAATAAGAATTTTATATTCGTCTCTGAATTAAATAGATCCAGAAAAATGATTTTTCCTTATTTATTTATTTAAAAATTCTTTTTCGATAAAAAAAAAGTCAAAAACTTCATTTCAATTATCTAAAATATTATTAAAAATAATTAAACATATTAAAGAAATTTAATGGGAATTAGATCTAAAGAGTTATGAATATAATAAATATACTGAGAATTCCATCATTTCTAGTAACCGTATCTCATTGCACCCTCTCAAATTGGCCCAATAGTTTCCATGACCCACAGCCCCTCGTAGAGGTGCATGATTGAACTATCAAAGGTAGTTAATAATTGTAGAAGACATGATCCTAGTCCATGGATCATAAGTTCCTCCTTGCGGACAAGTCCAGACCACATTCCAGAACTATAGTCCATGGGTCCTTCAAATATAATCCAGTATTGTAGGGAGTCATCTCTTCAGCACATGTATACAACACACCCACAATCCAGCGGGCGGCTTCCCAGACGACTATCTAGTGTACATGCCATGTGATGGTAATGATGAGGATTTTGGCTCTTGTCCTCTTCGGCCCACCATAACATACAGGGGTCACACCAGGTCCTCTAGCCAACCACCTTGGGCACCCAATTCTGATCTCATCAAGGGGTAACGCCACATCAAAATCTTTATTGATTGTGCACAAAATACCTCAGGCTACGAGTTTTAGACATCACCCTGACCCATAGCCAATCAAAGCTCAGGTGAGTCTCGACACTAATAATGCTTCACAGTCCAATCTGGACCACACTGCCACTGGAGCTAATATATCACTATATATGATTTCAATACATGCTCTCATAAGACCTTTAAATAGCCACATAACTCCAACATCATATACTTAGTAGGAAACGCTTCCATCAGTTAGCCAGGTGGTTTCCTTTCTCCAAATTGAGGAGAGTCAAGAAAGTGTCATGCTGCCAGGTCAAGTACTTTACAATTTACCCTTGTTTTGGCCTCATAACCTCCTAAAAATAACGTGGGGTGGAACTTGGAAATTTGGAAAAGGAGGGCAGAACCAAGGAGAAAAGTAAAAGGGTGATCATTGTTAGAAATGGCCATATTAAAGAAAACTGCAGGGATCTAGTTGGTCGGCCAGCTAAATTTAATCATCCACGTCAATTTAATGCTCACAAGGCTTCTTCCACTAGGAGTTCAGCTGCTGCTAGTACGGATCAGCTGGTATAAAATGCAATCCAATCTTCAGTTTCTACTCCAAAAGAGATTATACCAATCCCAAAAGGAGATTGAAAGCCTTCATTGATTGTTCGCAGTTAGATGGCCCCTCCACATCCTCTTCTTCATCCCTTGCACATTCAAGTACTCATGTTTCTGCCAATCAAGTTATACCAATCCCAAAAGGAGATTGGAAGCCTTCATTGATTGTTCGCAGTTAGATGGCCCCTCCACATCCTCTTCTTCATCCCTTGCACATTCAAGTACTCATGTTTCTGCCAATCAAGTCTCCCTTACTCTGTTTGGATAATCCTGAATCATTGATTCAGGAGCATCAGATCACATGATCAATATGTCCTCCCTTTTTTCTTCCTATTCTCTTGTTTTGGTTAGTGCTGGGAATGGGTTGGGTCGAGTCCGGGTCGGCCCCAATCCGTACCCCACCCGACTCCTGGGTAGGTAGACGCAGCCCGGATTCGACTCTTTGGCAGGTGGACTGGGACCGGGACCCGGACTCGGACCGAACTTTTTGGCTAAATTTACTTTGTTATGGTGCCTTCCATAAAAGGATGTGTCTTCACAGCCTATGCAAACACAAGAACAACGAATTGGTCAGGTGATCCAATACAAAATCATACTTGTGTTTCTCAGCATGTTCAGTTCCCCATAAACAAATTGTTACACCTTCCACGAGTAACTCTTTTTGGACCTGGTGAATGAACTAACCTTGTAGAGACATGGGCTTTACGATATGTATGAGACAGCTTTGAGACTCGACCAAGTCTTTTCCAAAATTATATTAAAATTTAAGACAGGTGAGTTTTAATATACCCCTGAAAGACTTGGTCAAGTCCCAAGGCTACTTGACTAGGAAAATCTGAGTGTACTCCCTGAGTTTAAAAACCTTGAACAGAGGTATTATTGTGCTAAGAGTAGCTATTAAATTATAAAAACTATGGTCCTTGTATTTCATTTTACCCATCTATACTCTGTTATGCCATTATTTAATTTACTTACGGGCATTGCATTCATATTCATTAATCATTGCATGTGCAATATCTGAGAGTAACTTTCATCACAATGAAGGAAGATTTTTTTCACATGCCCTGAAAGCTCCATCTCTTCCCATCTCCTGCATCACTTCGTTCTCTACATCTTCAACACTAGGGTGATTCGAACAATCCCACAATTAATATTAATTAGCCAACCATTCATCACTCATGTCTAGGGAATTTCATTAAAGCAGCAAATGACAATTCTTTGAAAAGAAAACTGAATGACACAAGGAATAGCAAAGAGATGGAGATAATGTGAAAGATTAAGTTATTCCTAGTCCTATATAACAAGGAAATCAGAAAAGGATGTATGTGAATTTCAAAGAAAGTATAAAGTTATTAGAGAACTAGAGTGTTAGAAGGGAAAGCATGTCGAAAAGGATTTTGCTAAAAGCAGAGGATTACAATAAAAAATATTAAGTTCTAGTTCATGAGCAACATGTGGCTCATGGGAAAGTTCCATAAACGAAAAGATGGACAAGAATCTGGATCACAAAAGCAAAAAGAGCATAAAACCCCTATGATGATATTTACTGGCTTTTTTGTCCATAACAAGTAGCACAACCCAAACATGAATACAGTCTCTGTGGTACTAGACGACAGTTGTGAACTTGTGATTAATAAATACCGATGGATCTAGGGTTTAGGGTTTACAAAAGAAAAAAATGGCCACTTAAAATGTCAAGAACACAAATCACCATAATGTATACTCTCCAGCAAAGTGAAATATCAAAACACCATAAAATAATGCAGGCAAGCATTAAATAATTATATAAAAACTCACCTTGAGTAAAGAATTTGTACTTTTGGTTGCTTTTACAAGTCCCATGATGAATGATATAACCATAAGAATTAGCCCACTTAAAAAGTGCACTAAGAGAATCACATTCTGCAGATATAAACAAATGAAATTAAAATAAATTATAGACAACAACAAAAGAAGTCAATCACATAGAAAGACCAATGCGAATGGGAAGTAAACAAAAGGAGCTAACCTGGGCAATAGTGTGATCAGAGAAGAAAAATGTGAGGCAGTATGTAGACGACGGTATTGCTGACCCATATGCCAAAAACATAAGTGTAGTGGGCAAAATGCCCATGGTTCCAACAAACTGATGGAGCCCTGAATTAGACAAGCATATAGTGAATTATTTCACAAGCTATGGGGCACTATTGAAACTTGCCATCAACATAAGCAGAATCCTCACAAAAATGGAGATGCTTAAGCTAATTAATTTAATGCCTAAGGGAAATAATGAATTTGCCAATTCTAGGTATTGGAATGAAACGACCTGACAACAATTAGGAGAAAAAGGATATCTACAAGTATTATCTGGATCATTTACCGAAAATGTAGAAAAGAACAATTGCAAGTGACATTGGAAATAAGAAGCTGATGAAATCCCAAACAAAAGTGGAGATCCAGTACGCAAGAATAGATACCTGGAATAAGTTCAACTCTGACAATCAATTTAACGGACAATACATACAAAAATTCAGTTACTGGTTATCTTGGATGAAAAATTAAAATAGGAAAGCATCCACATACCCCACTTAAAAGTTGCTGGTGTTTGGCTTTAACCTCCCGCTCCTGTGTAAAAGCAACAAAAGAGATCTAATGATGCTAAAAAAGTAAAATATTGGATCTCTTCAATGGTCTGTGAGAATCAGTAAAATTCAAGCTAAGAATGAGCATTTCAACATCCAGATGTCATACAATCCAGATTTCAAAAAATCTTGTTTCTTCTCTTTGGGGATGAGGGGAGAGTGTTGATAAAAGGGAACAGGTAAGAACAATAAAAAATAGTAGTACATAATATACAAAATTATGATAAAAGGGTTAAAGTGGAAATCATATCTGTAATGGAACGTCATCATTATAGCGGTTCAGCTCTATTTTTATTAAAGGTCAGTGCTGATAAGAAGCTAACCTAATTGTTAGTTGACAGTATTATCCAAGTTCCGAACATTTCTTAGGAGACAAAGGTAACACAGTCGTGTAAATTGCAACAGCGTGCAATTTGAACACAGTGACTTTCATAGAAGTAAGCAAAACATTTCAAGACACTTGATTTCTATATTTGTGCCATGTCCACCAGAGTACGCATGGAGAAGCACACAAAGTGAAGGTTGTTTTACGGCAAAGCTTGTCCAAGATATAGAAGGTATGCAAGTTTATTTGTAAGTGCAATTTGATAATTTCCTCTAAGCAACTGTATGTGTGAATAATGTCACACATGAAAAGTCTGACCACAATTAATTTTCATGTTATAAGCATTACATAGTGTGGGTTCCATGTAATGCACAGCTTAAGTAAAAATGTCAAGTCGTGAAAAAGAAATAACAATTACATCATATACAACCGGGATGTCACCATGGGTTTGATTGGTTAATGTGTTGACCACACAGGTTTGAATCTCACTGCTCAACTGCCACCAAAGAACTAAGATATAAGCATTACCAATACTTTTGCTATTTGCACCTAAACACATGGGCAGATACATTAACTAGAGCTAGTTACAGATACATTAACATGGGTAGATACATAGGAGGACCGAGGACCAATAGAACAATAGAACTTCCCTAAAATAGTCAAGTCTTTTTTGTAATTTATGATGGTAAGTAGTTCAAATGATGAAAAATATGTAAGTTTTAGTTTTAGCATTTTATAATATCAGCCAAATAAAAAGAGAGAACTCTAAGGTGACACCCCAAAAAAAAGAAGAAACAAAAGAACACAGAAGTGAAGAACCTAAGGGTACGTTTGGTTCGTGCGTAAGTATTTCCCGGGAAATATTTACATATGCAAATACTTTACCTATGTAAATATTTGCATATGCATTTTTTTTACCATGTTTGGTAGCACATTTAAAAAAGCATTGTGTAAAGAGTTTCATATGATTGGTAGCACTTGGTTGGGGTGAAAATATTGCCACCAAACCTCAAGGGATACTTGTTCCTAGTGGAAAAAGCAAGTAAATAGCAGAACTACCATCAGAAGCTAGCCAAGATATGAACTGCCCAAGGCAGGTATTTTGCAGCAGGGAAATGCCGAATTACCATAAGAAGCTAGCCAAGATATGAACTGCCCAAGGCAAGCATTTTCCGGCAAGGAAATGCCATGAGGCCATTGGCATATGGTTCTTTCCCCATATAACGGCAGGGAAGACCTTGGGAGCGTATTGCAGTCCCCCAATTCTCCCTAACTTTTGTTTTGGATGAATACCAAATGGAACCAACTTGGCCAAACTTAAATTTCAGCCACTATGAACTGATTTGCACTGAAAACAGTGTCGAGGCCTTCTACAAAAAAATTAGATCCATGATTGGGTTGAATTGCATTGGTTTCATCTTCCATTTTGATCTACTCCTACGGTTTGATGAGCTTGGTAGTGTTTTTGTTCTTCTTTCAAACTATTTAACCAAGAGTTACCTATCTCAAACCAAGTAAATTTCTGGCATAGCAATAAGGGCTATGGTTTTCTCACAGCTCTGGTTTTCTTGCATAGGCATGGGGCTTTTAGATAGATAAAGGGAGAGAGAGGAGGGTCACAGGAGAGAGAGAGGGCTCTGGTTTTCTCTCAGATGGGGCTTTTAGAGAGAGAGAGACGAGGGTCAAGAGAGAGAGGGCTCTGGTTTTCTTGCAAAGGGATGGGGCTTTTAGATAGAGAGAGAAAGACGAGGGTCCCAGGAGAGAGAGAGGGCTCCAGTTTTGTCGCAGAGGGATAGAGCTTTTAGAAAGAGAGAGAGAGATGGGGGTCACAGGAGAGAGAGGGGGCTCTGGTTTTGGCTTTTGAGAGAGAGACAGAGATGAGGGTCACGTGGGCCTTTGTTTTCAAGTGGATTGATTAAAAATTTCGGGTCCGCTATATTTGACGGAACCATGGGAAATATTTCCACACTTCATAAGGTGTGGTTTCATTTTACCATGTATTGGCCTTTTCATGGTAAAATTTTACCATGGTAAAATATTTGCAGCCAAACATGCGAAATGCAATTTACATATGTAAATATTTCCCGAGAAATATTTACACACGAACCAAATATAACCTAAGGAAAAAATGACATATTTTTTGGACAGATTCCAAAATCTCCAACACAACATACCCAACATTTGCATCAACATATGTCCAACAGTTATATATGGCCAACATGTGCGTCAAAATGTTCTGAGCAAAAAATACATATGGCGAACTTGCGAAGAGATGATAGACAAATCCATCTTGTATTGTCATTGATAACAACTTAATTGATAAAGTTTACCAATCATAACATGTCGCTAGCATATGGATGCAACACTATCAAACATATGCTTATACAAAGGTATCATGTTCAGCCATTCATTAATGTGCACTGATATACGAGTCTATGATGTTGTAACAAAGAGAGATATTAAGGGAAAGCAAAAGGGCTGCACCTCAGTTTGAGTTATCCTGATTTGCCTGCTTCTATTTGGTTGCAAAAAACGTACAGCCAATACATTATGTGAACACTTAGTTCACACAAGAAGGTTTTTTAAACTGTCAAACGGACCTAAAATATTTACCACTCAAACAGGTAACCTGGTTTCTAATGTTGGCATCTCTCCCTCTCCCTCCTTAGGCTGAATATTGTGCAAACCCAATACCCATTGGACCGTGTTTCATGACTATGTATCATGTACAAGGGGAATTGTTGTCCTTATTATTTGTTATTTTGTTTTACAATTCAATATCCTTGCAAATTAAGAGCATTTACGTAATTGTACAAATCCCAACATCCAATCATGTAGTATTTAATCACATAAAGAAGATGCAACCACAACACTGATGTGGGGATCCAGGCCACACTCTCTCACTTTTATATCGTCTCGCTCTTTCTTCTTGGTGACAAACATCACGTTAGATGGTATCAGAGAGGCAATTGATCTCCAAGGGCCTGTAATTATCAAGGTTAAGTCTTTCTCATCTCCATTACATCACACTTATTCTTCCTTGTTTCATTATTTTCATTCGCTATCAAACCTTCTTTTTCCTTTCTTCACCTGCTCCATTAACTATGAAACCCCAACATGTCTCTTTTAAACGGATTTAGACAACCCTAATTTCTTTTTCAATCTAAATAAGACCCAAAAAAGAAAACCTCCCTCTCTAAAAACCCCAGCCCAAACTCTCCCTCCCTCAAAATCTGAAAATCTTCTCTCTTTCTCTATTAAAAAATAAAAATAAAAAAATTGAACTGTTGGATTTATGGCCTTTCAAGGCCGTAGAGCTAAGATTTTCTTGCTCAGAGGAAGTGAGTGAGAGAAGATGATTCTGGGCGCTCAGCGCACTAGGGCCAAAAATTTTATACCCCAAGTACATTAGGTAATGAGTGTTTTACGATTTAAGAGAGAGAAATCTCTCAGGAAGGTGTGAGGGTCATCTCTGAGTCAAGGCTATGTTGATGAGTACGCCTCATGGTTGGTGTGATTGGCATGGGCTAGGAGACGCAAAAGAGTAGAAAAGAAACCAAGTAATTTTTCGAGTATTGGCCTTGTGTGGGGTGGTCATGACTTATGAGCATGAATTCGTACCCTGACACGAGGGCACCCTACAACATGTGCACTTACAGTCGCATGAGAAGCCGCTCTTTTAAAATTTGATTCAACTAAGAAGAGCTGGTGTACATGTGCCTTGAGAGGATCCTTGTATATGATAATTTATATGCCCCATAAGGGTGCACCGGTATCCCTCGAGAACCCGATAATGAAAAAATTGGGGTGACTTTGATGAGGCCAAATTATGTGTCATTGCCATAGACTGTGGAACATAGGCCCATTGGGTCATCCTAAGATAAAGTGGACCACCATTCTGAAAGAGCCCAATGGAGTACTCCAATGCCTAGAATTAAGCCTAGAGATTTCATTTGCCATTTATCCCATTTTATTATGATGAGAAAAAGTGTATTTATGATGAAAAATCATTTAGGCATTTTTTGAGTATTTTTGAGAATTTTACGAAATGTTTATGATAACCAAATATCCCATTTTGAAAATTGTTGAGGGCAAATTCCAAACAAGGATGAATAGATGGGGGTCCACGTGATACCTAAGTGGCCATAAGGTGGCCACATGACAGTCCCACGACCTCCTTTTGCTGACATCAGCATGATGTCAAATCAAGGGGGCCTAGTCCTTTGGAAACTTTCAGTTTGTTCATTTATCATACGGTTTTTAATGAAAGTTTATTTTATGAGTTAATTGACTCATTTTGTCACATGGGATTTTCACATATGTGTATTTGGAGACATGTGCCAAGGGTTAGGGCTAATCATGATATTTTAGTTCAAACCCCAATCCATGGTAGAAAATGAAAAATTAAAAGTTGCTTTTTGCATGGCATTATCTCATTGGCTAATGTGAACTTTATGGAATGACACTTTTTGATTGGCTAATCTATGGGATATTATCCTTGTTGGGATACCTTTCTCAAATTACAATAAAGGCATGTGGCATGCCCCTACCCGTATGATGTTTTATTATTTTCATAAAGATCTTTAGTCACTTATGGAATAACCAAAGGGCCTATGAGGAAACCTTTTATGGGACAAAGACATTTTGATAAAATGGCT